GCAGGCGGTCCGCCGCCCCCCCCCCCCCCCCCCCCCCCCGGACCTAATAAAGTTGGAAATGGGAATGGGATACTTGAAGCCATCCTACAGTGCAGAACCCCCTTCTCTTTTCGGTGCTCATTTATGGTATGGTATATTTATAAGTTGAAAAAAACCCCAGAAGGATAAAATCGGTAACAAAACAGAAAGGAAATTTTAATTTGTAATTAGGGCATTCAAAGGCTCTGTAATGGTTGTGATAGAAGCAATTAATAGGCATTGCTTTTTGTGCAAGACAGGGCCTACTTAAGTAGGTCGTGAGGCTGGTAGCCAGGAGACCTACTTTCTTTTCATAGCTTTGCTGCTTATGCTTTCTGTGATCTTGGGCAAGTAACTTCATTTTTGATCCTCTTCCTTCTTTACTATTTCTTGCCCCTCTCGGGTCCATTCACATCAGAAGGGAAAGAGTTTTTTTGCTATGTGCTCTGCACAAAAGGGGACACAATCTTAACTGGAAGTTTGAGGCCCTGTTGTAATACCAAAACGCTCTCTGTGGCTGCTTTGCTGTAAATAATCATGCAGGAATGTAGATTACTTTGCAGGTTTGCTATGTGAGCATTTTATAGGGTACCTGTATAAGAACAGGCATGCTGTAGATAAAGACGTCCTATGGAGGTCAAGTTCACAAGGTTTCGATACCTACTGAAATTCCCATGTATCTCTGCCCGGAGATGATGAGCGGTGCTGGGGGGATGACCCTACGTACTGGATTTAGTGGTGTTGGGGCAGTTTCTGGGATGGAGGGTCTCCCGGGACTGCTGACGGCAGCCCGCACCCTTCACGGGCTGCAGCAAGAGCTGTGGGGGAAGGGTTGAGTCTGCAGGCGAGGTGTTTTCAACGGGCTTTTGGCGGTGCTTAGTCGAAATGGCTTTATGACTGACTGGTGATGAGTGGTTACCACCTGAAGGAAAACACCCAGGAAGCCTGAGAGAGGTGTCCTCTCGGCTGTTGGAGTAGTGGCTGCCCCAGGAAGCTCACACCCTCCTTACTGTCTGGTTGAATCATCAGAAATGATAGACTAGGAAATGTAGGAATTAAATTAACACGTGAATTATGCCAAAAACCACAGCCCAACCAAAACCAGAGCATGTCTGCGGGGGTTTGGGGTTGTTTTTTTTTTTTCTTTCTGTTTTGTTGGTTGTTTTACACTGAACCGAAACCTTTTCCATGCAACAATTTTTTGTTTACTGGCCTTAGGGGAACGCAGTGGCTGTGAGCCATGTATGTGTGTTTGCTTAACAACTTTTAGAGAATTCTTTGACAATCAGGTTGTGATAGATGGTAAAAATCCCAATGGCATGTGAGGCTATGCATATTTACTCTTGTTCACCTCTAAAAATAAAAAAAGAAGGGCAGGGGGGAGGAACCAGTTTAGCTTTCTACTTCAACCCCTAGGTTTCTTCTTCTGTGATTCCTTCATGGTTTTTTACTGAGATGCGCTTGTATTAAGTGAACCAAAATTAATGCTTTAATCTTTATATGCGTAACCTGGAAAATATGAAGCCCATTTACTTGTATGACAACTTCATAGGGGAGAAAAAAGTCAGGCTGGAAAATTAGCTAAGCTTATTAGAAGCATACCTTGTTTTTCTTAAATGGCTTTGTAGAGTGTTTCACAAAATTAAATTTAATCCTCTAAAGTGTGTCAGATGCTAAAATTTCCAACTCCTTGGCCTTGCGTTTGGCTGCTGATTAAAGCATGGATTAACCTGCAATTCCATTGGTGTCAATGCTTCAATATGTATTGTTTTTTAAATGGAAATCATTAATTTCTCTTGATCTTGGGAAATTTACTTCTGATCCACACGTGCAACAATGTATGCTGATATTAAGCTCCTCGTCACCTACAAATAAAAAACATTCTGTGGTAATGACAGTATCATGATGAATTTTTGCCTGCAATGAAATATAATAATACCAAATTCTGAGCAAAGTGTTTCACCACTTTGTATTTACAGTTACAGTGGAAATGCTATGGTCAATCACCCGCAGCAAGGTTTTCACCCTTGCATCATCAAGTTGTGACTCAGCACCGTGATATAAAAGTAGACCTCCAGACAGGTCAGGAACATTCCTAAAATCAAATTGCTGCCAAGACTCTGGGCAGGTCTCTGGGATTTACCCTGGAATTTTGGGTTAACCTGAAAGGGTTTCCTTCTTGTTGGTTTCTCTAATCTTCTAAGTAGTACAGTGGAGAGGAGATGACTGTGATTCTGCAGTTCCTACCAGGGTTTTTATACATCTGGCTCTGTATAATTTAGCCAGTAATAGCTGTGGTAGTTTACAGTTCTCTGTACTTTGCAGTCCTGGCAATTCCAAATGTTTGCTCTTTCTCAAAAGAAACAAGTTGACTTAAGGCATGGTCTTTGATTCTTTGATTTTTACATTAAATCCTGCCTATCTGAACATGGACTGCCCCAAAGTGGACATTGCAGTATTTGGGTCTCTAGGGGTATGTCATCCCACAGTCTCCAAATCTTCTTTTAAGCAAAAGGTCTAAAGAATAAAAACAAAAGAACCACCCCCAAACCCTAGCCAAGTCTCTTGTCTCATCATGGATGGGGGTGTGTGTCTTTTTAAGACAAAAACCTCCAAAATAGAAAGACTTGATGACATAGTGAGAAAAGCAAACGTTAGTGGTCCGTGCTCCCATTCGCACCCCCCCTCAGCCCCCCTCCCCAAGCCCACTACACCACCACTGACTTTGGGAAGTGGTGGAAGACATGCGTATGTACATATGCATTACCTCGCCGGGCCAGCTCAATTTAAATGCAGCCTATTAAATTATTTACAGAAGACAGTTGGCCAACCCATTGTGCTGTGTTAGTAGGAGCCAAAGGTCACTTTGGTGTGCCTGGTTGATTCATAGGGTAATCTGATACAGTACTTAGCTTTTTGCCTCCCAGTCAGTGGGTTAAACCTTATCCTCTTATTATGAGTCCGAGAACCATAAGTTTCAGAAAAAGCCAGAGCCTTTGTTTTTAATGGTTTTGAAGAGACTGTGCAGCAGAATCCAGAGGGCTGCAAGAGCATCTGCCAGGGGGTCGGGGTGTGTTCTGAAATAGTGCAAATCTGACTGACAGCTTGGGATCTGAAACACTGTACCCTTATTTTCTTAAGCTGCTTTTCCTTTTGCTAACATCATCTGCAGCCATTAGGATGTTAAGGCATTAATGCTTATTCTTCAGATAGGTGGCACTTTTTTGGTTTTTCATGGGTTTTTTTTTCTTATAAATCCCCCCCCCCCGCCATGTTCCTCGCTACCAGCATCTCCTTGAGGATTCACTGAGCTGATTTTATTGAGTATCTCCTATATTCAAGTCTATTCTTTTGCTGCAAGATACAAACTTGTGTGGTTTTTGTCAGCTTGCACCTTTGTGACAAATCCTGTCAAAAACCATAGGTATTGGGATGTCTTGGTATTGCTAGCTTCTGTCTGCTTTAAAATGTTGCCTTTGCCTCTCCCTCTTCCAGACTTACTCCCTCCTGGAAGCAGCATTGGTGTCGGCATGCAGGGCATGCAACTGGCATTGCGGCAGCTTTCAGTAGTGCCTGACTTTTTAAAACCTTCACACCGCAGAGCGCTTTTCCCAGCTACTAGTTTAAAGAGATGGCAGGACGTAGCACAGCTGGGATTGAAACCTGTTTTGTGAGCTGCAGTCACACCAGTGGGAGTCTGGTCAGTAAAAATGTCTGCTTATGCACAGGTTTTGTTTGTGTCTATGCACTTGTTTTTTATTTTTATTTTTTTAATTGTACTACCAGGTACAGGGGCACTAATGTTTTCAGCACACTCTGTGCAGGATGCTTGTGGCATTTACAAGCTCCAGAATTTTATTTTTCCTCTCTCCAAGTCCACAGAGGTGCACAAGTGCTTTTCTATTTCTGTACGCAGGGTTCAGAAGTTTGCGCTGCCACCGAGCTGGCTGAGGAAAGGAGGAGTTTTGCTTCTGTGGTCGTGCTTTTAGGAGAGCGAGCCTATCGTATTTCACTCTAATCCTAAGCGATAGCCACGCAGTCTGTTTTATTGTTAGAAGAGCCTTCCTGGAGCTCCTTCACCAGGCTTTTCACTAGGGGAGAGCAGGGCAGCCAGAATGAGGAGGCAGAAGAGTGGTCAGTCCCTCATCCCTCCTGTGCCATGCTGGGGCGTGATCTCTGCCTGCTCTTCCCCTGTCGTGGGGTGTTTTTGATGAGCCAGAAGAGAGGACTGAATCGCATGCATGCTCCTGGGGACCGATGCCAGGGAGAAGAGTGGAGCTACAGTTTTTGCTGTTGAGTGGAGAATGGGGAAAACACGTGCCTTAGTGCTATATTCTGCTCAGCCATTACATGCTCCTCTGAGCTGCTGCAAGGTGCCACTTTCTGCTGCTTTTCTCCTCTTTGTTTTCTTTGGCAGCTCCCTAAGTGCTGTATCAAAACAGCTTCAGGGGAGCTGTGCTGGCACGGTCACCCACCTCCATGCTGGTGCTGGTTCAAATGCAGCCAGAAGAAACCTGGACGGAAGTCGGATTGAAATTGTTTAGCCTCCCACGAAAACCACTGAGAAAGGGGACAGGAACAATTGCAGAAAGGTCTGTTTGCAGCCGAGGCCAGTAGCTGGCTTGAAAGAAAATGAAAAAGGAGTGTGTTTCGAGATCTTTCAAACTCAAACAAAACCCTGGCTCCCTCTCGCGTGCTGTAAGCTGGATAAATTTCTCCTCCTTGTCAAGGCAGACAAAGAGATTGTTTCGCAGCGATGGTGAACTCTCCTCCATGTGCGTGCAGCAGGTAGACGACGATGATGAGAACTGGACCTACAGGAGCCAGCAGAGAAAAGGTGACTTGCTTTCTTTTTAACCCTTGTGATTGCTGCTGCTGCTGTGTCAGCCCCTGGTCCGTGCTGTTGTCCAGCTGCTGGGGTCCCGCGGGGAGCCAGGAGCCGCAGGTGGGGTAGGAGGAGGAGGGCAGCACAAAAGCCTAGGCACAGCATTGCCTTGCCCAGTTTTTCTTGGGTTAAAACTGTGAAAGCTTGTAGTAATCAACAGGGAAAACCTTTAATTTCCATCGGGGCAACATAAGGGTACTGACTGTGTGGTGTGTAGGTAAGTTTTTGGTTACTCTCCTTGTAGCCAATAGTCACTGGTGGCAGCTCCTTTGGGCAGGTGCTGCAGGAATCTCTCCTCTCTATGGGGTACCAAAAGCCATTTCAGACTCCACTTGTAACAGTCTGGGTGGCTTTTTGGATGACTGCCTCACGGTCCTGCTGGAAAATTTCAAGTGTATTTTGGTTTATGAGGGCAGAATGAGAAGAGGTCCCAGATGCAAAATAAAAGAGATGAAGGGATGCTGATGGGAATTGCTCCACAGAGAGGAGGAGGGAGATCTAGGATGCGAGATAGGCAGCTCTGAATGAATCCTTGAAATACTCAAACCTGGAGTACATTTTATATGAGACTTTTTAAAAGTACTTTTCTTCTTTGTGTTCATTTTTTTGAATGGAGTATGTCAGGTACTTGTTCAAGCATACCTCATATTTACCATAAATCAAAATAAATTTCAGAAGTTTGCTCCTCTGAGATGGTGAGCACTGTTACCACTGCATTTACTGGCTGGCAGGCAGTGGCATGTGTGTGTGTGGTTAAAAATACTTGATAAAGTGATTTGGTTGTAATTTCTCTAGTGCTGCCAGTGCACTGGTTTGTTAAAGGAAAGTGTAAGGTTGACTTAGTTCTGCTGCAAGATCACCTTTGTAAGAGCAGGCAGGCTCTCCAAGGGCATTTGAACTTCAAAGGGATTTTTATTTCTTTTCATTTCTGGGAGCAGTTAATAGCTATTTGACCAGAATTTCAGTTCCGAGTCAGAATAAATTGTTGCTTTAGTAAATGGTTTAGATGCAGGAACACTAACACAGGATGTATATGCTTGTGCTTTGCTCGCAGCATGCTAGGAGACGATTTTAATCTGTGCTTTGAAGATTGTTTTTTAACCCCTTTTGCTGCTGAAAAACTTCTAAAAAGGGAGTTTGCATTTGCAGCCAGTGGCTAATTTTTACTTTTGATTGTTGGCATGTTGATATTGTGCAGCAATGTCAGATATACTTCTAACGCCTGTCGGATCTTACTTGCTGTGGATCAGAAGAAGCACAGAGTCCTGCTGCTGGTCACTGTGTAACTTCCATAAGAGTTTCTCATGCTGCCTTCCTTAGCCTGCTCGCACACAAGGCAGAGATGGGAAAGGAAGCTTTACTGATGGATTAATGGTGTATTAATTTTTCTGAGTGATTTACATAAAGAGCCCATTGTACAGGCTGGAGGGGGAGGGCAGAATTCCTCCCGTAATTGGGCAGCAAGCTATGAAAGCCTCCCTGCCTGCCTATAGCGGAGATGACAATACATCATTTTTGAAAGGAAGGTGGAGGGAGGTATAGATTATGCAGGGTTTATTTCCCCTTTGCAGGGCACAATTTGACTCGACTTCTAAAATCTGCCTGGATCATCAATCTAACTGTGCACTTCTGCCTGTCTGGGATCCTCTGCTCGGAGGGAGCTGACAAGCTGGCAGGGGATGCCAGGGCTGGAGGGAGTTTGGGTTATATACTTGGGCAGGAGAAGCTTGTCATGGCTGTGTTTCACCCAGGGTTGTGAGTCAGGCTTGCACGGTGTTGGAGCAGTTTGAGTATCGGTACCTGGCAGAGTTGTCATCTTGTGTTTGTGTTCAAAGGCAAAACAATGTGTGATAAATGAATACTTGCGTACTCGAATTAGCTTGCTCCATTGGACCGTTGCGTTACTGCTTGCCAGCCTTTGTAAAACTGAGGGCTCAAAACAATATTGTCTTTGGTGCTTGAGTTAACCATCTCACTTAAAATTAATGCAGACTAGAAAGAAATGGGATGCACAGGGGGCTGGAAGGATGGCTAGTTTTATATAGAAAACCAAACTGTTTATTTTAAATTAGCTGAAAAACTATTAAAATTTCATCTATCAAAATAATTTTGCCTCCAGTTCTTCCTTAGGTAAATTGGTAAAAAGGTAAGCCTGACAATTCCCAGGGTCTATCTTTTTCTTCGCCTAACTGGACGTGTAAAGGCAGGAGTGTTAACAGAAGTTGGAAATGAAGGAATTGTTGTTTTTCTTTCAGAGCTGTTTCTCTTCCTGTCTTTTTAAACCTCTTATTCTTTTGCCGCTTCATTGCTCTTCCTGTCTCATATTGCATTCCCACGAGGCTGCTAGGTGACAGGCACAAGACAGCATGTGTTGCGTGGTATTTCACCAGCAAAGTGGCTAATCTGCATTGGCTGCAAACGGGAACTTGCAAACAGTAGCGAGCAGCGAGATTGGTTGGATTTGTCAGTTTAAAATGAGCAAGAAAAACAAAAAGTAAATGCTAACTGCAAACCTGGGGCACACCCTGATGCCCCGCGCGGCTGAGCTCTATTTGTGTGGAAGTCAAGTCGGGGGCTGCCGCTTTGCTCTTTGTTTTTAAAAGGTACACAGTAATGCAGAGTGTTTTGGAACTGGTAGCACCAATTAGACTACGCATCTGATAATGCAGTTACTAAAAGACACGGTAAAAGTTGATAGTAAGATAAAGGTTTGTTGTTTGAAACATCACTTGCTCAGCCCTCTTTCTCCGCAGCCAGCTGAAGGACCTTTGAAACGAGAGCACGCTGTTAACTCCCGTGTTTCTCCTCTTTAATCTGAGTTTTTAGTTCCGATTTCTCACTCTTTGGGGTAGCAGAAGTTTCCTTCATTCTGGGGCGTGTGTGGGGGTGAAATGATCTTTTTTTATTCCCGACAGCTGCTCCAAGCGTCCTTTCTCTCTTGAGTAGGCACTGCTTACCCCTTTCTGTTCCCGGAGGTGGCTCCAAGGGGAGAGGGCGGGCCAGCGTGGCCAGGGTCGATCTGAATGTGAACTCATCCAGCCCGATACGCACTGAGCCCGTGGAGCTGGCCGCGCTTCACGCCGGCGCAGCGGGGTGTGGGGCAGTGGTGCTGGGGGTGCTGCTGGCGGGGGTTGTCCGCCTGGGGGAAGGCGCCGGGGCGGCAGAGGCCGGCCTTCTCTGCCGCCCTGGGTCAGCAGAGCTGGGCTGTTCTGCTCAGCAGGGCCCTGTGGGCTCACGAGGCAGCTTCGTGAGCACTCCCTAACTGCTCTGCGTGAGGGTCCTTAACATAAACGCATGTGGAATGCCCATTTTTGACTTGCAAAAACCAGTCTAAATGTGGAACTGTATCTTAATGCTATGAAGTCCTTCAATTCGTAAGTAACTACTTGTGGGCTCAGCCTTTCATATCCTTGTGGCATATCCTGTGGAGGTAATCCTGACGTCCTGATGACAACTCTTACCACAGCTGTCAGGTAACTTCCTACCACCCGCTGCATATCAAGGACTCAGAACGTCACGCTTACCAAGGGGTTAAATTTCCACAAACTGGACAATTAATTTCTTCTGTCACAGTAGCAATATTGGTGCTGCCTTATCACGTCAGTAAAAATGATCTTTAGTTATGCCTATACTACCTGTGGTCAGTTTAAACGTATATTGCATAAGTTTGATACTATCAGAGGAGTTTTTCTTCACATTCCAGAGGCAGAGTTCGGACTCAAGACCTTCAGTTTTTGTAATACCAAGGAGTTTGTATTCTCAGTGCTTCCTGTAGAAACTTAGTGTAGGGATATGCACCTCTGACGTTGTCCAACTGCAGGGTCAGAGCATCAGCTTGGTCTTTTTCTAAAGTCCACATGAATTTTTAAATTTTGGTTTTTTAAGTCGTGAACACAGTTCACAAGGGGGGTTCAGAGTCAGAGCACTAATCACTTTTTTTTTTTTTTTTTTAGTAATGAGGTGTAAGAGTACCAAGAACTAGGAAGTCCCCATAAGCAAGATTACTGAATCCAGGCTTGCTGTTGCTATTGTAATGTAAAATCATTTAACGGGGCTTTTTTTCCTATATGTTTTTGCACAAGATCTTGTGTTCAAGGGGGTAAAAAGTCATGTCAGTTCCTACACAGATAAGGGCCCATAAACCTGAAGGGAGCTGTTAGTGTTTGTAGAAGCAGTAATATGTGATGGATTGTAGTGCTGGGGCGTGTGTGTCTGTGAAACAGATTCTTGAAGCTTTGGGCAAGTCCATAAATGATTATTTATGGAAACCTCAAAAAGCATTTGTGCAAGAGACTGGAATAACTCCCAAACAAATATTATATCTTCTATATACCTTTTTGTGGAAAAGTTTTTTTTTTTTTTAAAGACCTGAACATTTTATAGACATGCAGTTTTGTGTATATGAGCAGATATACACAAATCTAAATATTTAAGTGGGAAAAATAGTGAGAGATTTGATACAAAGGCCAATTTTCTATCTTGTCATACCTTTTACATGTTATAGATTCTGTTTGCGTAGATAAAATTGGATATAGTTATACGCGTTTGTAAAAATTTGCCTATATGGTCAAGTTTGTGTCTTAGTATTTGTGGTTGAAACTGTTGGATGTTGTGCTTTTATAGAAGCAGTTCTCGGCTGGAAGCAGAGGTACTACTTAAATTACTTAGGGTGTACTATTTGTATTTGCATGTTTGTATCATGGTGCAGCAGACAGTTCTGTAAAACTTTCACTATATGCAGTTGCAATTGAAACTTTTCATGCTGGTAAAACAGCTGGAGACAGTCAAAAGTCCTGCATTTAACTACAACTTGAAGTAGCAACTTGTGTATGCTGCTACATAAATGCAAATTTAATCAAAACTTTGCCTTCTTTCCCATGTCTTCTGGTAAATATTGCCATAGATGGGCATCTGAAAGTGGGTTTGCTAAGCAAAAATTTGTAAGCTACAGA